AGTATAAAGTAAGGTCTGTTATGGGGGTGGTCATACAACATTGTGATAAAAAATATGGAAGCAGCCTAACTAACCATCAAGAATATTAGAATACCTTGTTGTTCAGTGGAAAACAATATACTCATTACAAATACTTACTTAAATCTTGTGATATCTTATGGGATCTGTATTTTATTAACTTAAATCATACTCCAAATAGAATGACCCTAATTACAAAAAGATATATGCAGAGCAAAGATTATTGGAATGCTAAACAGTGGCTGTCTCTGGGAGGGCTAAGGCTGAGAAAGGTTTTCCTTTTCTGAACTCTGTGATATGTTTGTACTGTTCTCACTAGGATTTTAAGCTGCTCCCTCCAATGTTGGTTTTGGTCTCAGTCTTCACACGGCCCAGCCTGTGGGCTGTGTAGGGAAGTGGGGGCTCGCCCCCTTTCCCAGCTATACACACTAGGCCCTGCAGCCTCTAAGCCTTTAGCACTGAGTAGCTGCTGCTCATTCTCCTCTGAAGCTTTGAGGGACTGAGGTTTGAGCAGATCTTCTCTGTATTTTCTGCACATTATTCTCAAAGGTGCAGAAATGAGCCTATTAACATAATTACATAAAAGGACTACCTTCAGGTCTCTTGTCGTGGCTCTCAGGAGGGTGTCAACATGTCAGTCTTCCCTTATGACAGGTCTTTGAAGAGACAGGTCCTTGGCTCACTCTTCTTCTCTCCTCCAACTTCTCCAGGCTTGTGATGTCATCTCCCTTTAGCCGCCCGCTTCTGTCTTAATCACAACCTCACAACACTTTACAAACTAATGTGTCCATTTAAAGTTTCAACCTGTCAGCCAAGAAGAAAATGATAGATGTCTTAGTGGGACAAGCCAGAGGGTTAAGTAGAGGATATATTTGGGATGAAAGGGAAACAAGCATTGGCAGAAATAGAAGCCACCTGTGTTTTGCAAGGATTTGTGGAATTGCAAGCTGAAATTGATGCTATCCCTGTTTTCTGCATTTGGATGGTACCACGTGCTTTGCATGTACCTGGGAGGGGGGATGGGCATGTCCTTATGAGAAGGTGTGCTCCTAGGATGTTGTGACAGAGCTGGTTTTTGGAGAGGTCTTGCTCTGGCAAGGTCTGGATGCTGAGGAGGAACCAATCCTGCAGGGGGCCCTGAGGGCCAAGGCTCTGTCATGAGATGGGGTGGGTAGCGGTTTAGGGCAGGCAGCTTAGGGCCAGGGGGATGGGGCGTCAAGGAGGCAAATGGAGAATGATGGCTGGTGGAGAGATGTGACCCTAGTCCAAGCAGGAGGTAGTGCTTTAGACTAAGTGGCATTGACAGAGGTGAAGAGAAGTAGATGGGTTCAGGGGATATTTTGGAAGTGGACTTGATGGGACTTGCTTATGACCTAAAGATGGAGGGTGACAGAAAAGGAAGACCCAAGATGTTTTTCCTAGGTTTCTGGCAGTTGTTGAGTCAAGGTATCAGTTTTTGAAGTCAGGGAGGGCTAGATTTAGAGAGGTTAAAGGGAAGAGGCCTTTATCCCTAGAGCTTATGTCTACTCCTCTTCCCAGGTCTATTTGTGCCACATGTCACAGACCTTGCTGTGAGTGGGGGATAATGCTGCCCTGCTGAGTGTTCTGACCATAGCCAGGCTGGCTTCAAATGTCCCTCAGCAGAGGCGAGGACATTTAGTCCATTTATATTCAGAGTAATTATTTATAGATATGTATTTAGTACCTTGTTTTTACTTGTTTTGTCATTGTTTTTGGAGATTTTTTCTGTTCCTTTCTAGTGTTCCTTCCTTTCTAGTGTTCCTTTCTAGTCTTTGTTGCTTTTTTGTCTTTCCTTCCACTCACAGAATCTCTCTTATTATTTCTTTCAGGGCTGGATGAATGGTCATGAACTCCTTCAGTTTTTGTTTTCTGGGAAACTCTTTCATCTCCTTCTATTCTGAATGCTAGCCTAGCTGGATAGAGTATTCCTGGCTGCAGATTTTTCTCACTCAGCACATTGAATTTATCATGCCAGTCCCTTCTGTTTTGCCACATTTCTACAAAGAGATTTGCTGCTAACCTTGTGGGGTCTTCCTTTTAAGTTAGGGACTTCCTTTGTCTTGCTGTTTTTAGGATTTTTTTTCTTTATCGCTATATTTTGCAAATTTAACTATAATATGACTGGTGTTGGCTTGCTTTCGATTTTGATACAGCTCCTCTGGTTTTTAAAGCCAAAAGTTACAGAGATTTAGTCCTCCCTATGTGAGCTTCCTGGTGCAGGGTCCTATTTCTTTGCCCTCTTTGGACACACAGCTCCCTCCTCTTGTGGGCAGCCTCCCTCTGCTTTTCTGATCTTCCTAATATTTCAGATGTAGCTTCTTCTCTGTATTTCATTATGGAGTTTGTTCTCCCAGGATTCAGATCGCTCTCCAAGTTATTGACTTGGAGATGGATGCTATCTTGGAGATGAGATGGGAGTAAGCTAAGGGTCCTCCTCTAGCACCTTCCCAAGCTCCTGAGGCCATCAGATATCACTGATATTTCTCATCGTTTTCTTTTGAAACATTATAATTTATTATCAAGCAAAAACCTCACACTGAATCCTAGCATTTAAATACACATTGTGGTACTTTAAGGAGCACTTGGGAAGAGGAAAGTATATCTAAGTTGTTGATCAAAATATGCCCCCTTTCAGGTGGGATTATGGTTGTAAGTGGGGGTTGTAGGCTTGGGCACAGGATGGGCACTTAGTGGAGCTTCCAACCTTGTCATTGTTGTGTTTGGTAATTGTTTAGTCCCATACTTTCTATTTTTGGGTTCTAGGACCACCCATACATTCTGATTGTCTAGAAGGACTCACAGACTCAGTTATACTCACAGCTATAGTTCCTTATTGCAGAAGGATGCAAAGCAGGACCAGTAAGGGAAAAAGACACATCAGGTGGTGGTCAAACCAGGCACAGGCTACCAACATTGTCCCTTATGGGAATTGCATGGTTCATGCAGTTTTTCTGGCCAGAGAATAGGAGCCCACTCAATTGCTCAGGTCCAAGGCTTTCACTAGGGCTGGGTACATAGGCACATGCCTCCTGTCTTGACTGTTCACAGCTACTAAAAACTCCAGAACCCCCAGAAGGAAAGGAGCCCCCATAAATTACTATTTATACATCCAGCCTAGACAAGTTGTAGCATGGTTAAATGTCCCAGTAGTAGAAAACAACTTTATCAGTTGGTAACATTTTACAGGCTAAATTCCCAGGAATTGGAAGCAGGGCTCCTGAGGATACTCAAGAGCTGAGCATCCAGGCCTGCTGTGCTGATTCTTCAGAATCAGCTTTTTGATGTGGTTTTTGGTGTATGTAGAGGAAATATTTAAGACAATGATAAAGGGGGCAGGGGAGGATTCAGGGAACCTAAATGAAGGGGAGGTTGATATACTTCAATCCAAGTGGTAAAATGTTGATAACAGTGGATTGTGATAACTCATAATGTAAGACCTAGAACAACCACTAACACATCTGGGTGAAGAGATACTCTTGAAATTACTATAGATCATTCACAGTGGAATTCTAGAAATGTTTAAGTGACCCAGAAGAAGTCAGGAAGAATGAAGCAGACCCTACTTAGATTATCTATCAATAATTACATTATGTATAATTACTAAATATAAATGTACTAAATTTAAGTGATCTAAATACAGTTAAAATACTGAGGTTTGGCAGAGTGAATTCAAAAAACATGATTGAACAAGAAATGCAGTTCAAATAAATTATATTGGTGGGTTGAAAGTAAAAGGATGGATAAAAATACATCATGCAAACATTAATCAGAAGAAAGGAGTGACTATATTAATATAACATAAAGTAGATTTTGAAGCAAAGATAGTCGGAGACCCAAGAAGGACATTATATTATAAGGCCAAGCTACCAAGAAAATATGGCAATCCTAAATGTTTGTGTACCAAGTAGCAGAACTTCAAAATACTTGAAGCAAGTACTGACATAAGTGAAAAGAGCAATGAACAAGTCCACAATTATTGTTGGGGAATTCAACATTCTTCTTAGTCATCAATAAAGTCAGTAGACAGAAAATCAGCAACAATAAAGAACTTTAGTTGTTACAGCATCAACCAAAAGGATATTAATGACATGTCTAGAACACTCCACCCAACAACAGCAAAACATACATTGTTTTCAAGTGCCCAGGGAGCATTCCCCCACATAGACCATATTCTGGGCCATAAAACAAACCTCAAGGAAATTAAAAGAGTTGAAGTCATACAGAGTGTGTTCTCTGACCATAGTGGATTCAAACTAGAAGTCAGTAATAATAAGATGACAAGATAATCTCCAAAGGCTTAGAAACTACTGTGTTTCTATCTGATCCATGGGTCAAGAGGAAGTCTCAAGGGAAATTTTTAAAAGACACCTAACGAAATGAAATCTAAATCTATCAGAATTTGTGGAATGCAGCTGAAGAAGTGCCCATAGGGAAGCACACAACACTGAATACTTGTTAGGCGTCCTCCTGCTGAGTGTGCACCATGTCCTTAGATAAGCTTGGAGGCGCCCTCCTACCGGAAACCACCCTGATTGACTTTGTCATCTGCTCGCCTTGTGGGAGCCTCTGTCTCCAGCTCCATGTGTGTCCCTGAGAAGACCGTTTCCACTGCTCTGTCGTTCTCTTGTCCTCTGGAGACTGGGAGCAGCTCTGAGGAGGCAGCAGTGAGGATGTGCTTGTCTCTCTTTCCAGGACCTCAAAATGGCTTGTGTAGAACTGGCAGTTTGATAAATCTTTGATATTGGTTTTCTTTCTGTTTTAACAAGCTTGCTAGTAATGTCTTTATGTTGAAGACATAAATACCAGTAAGGGGGAGTCTAATAAATTCCCTGGTGTTCTCCGCCTTAAGGGTATGTATAGTGACTAGATCTTGGGTGCAGCAGTTCTTCATCTTATGGGCACAGTAAGCATATGGAGAACACTGGAGACTTCATGAAGCACTTACATTCTTTATCCCCCAGGCTTTGAACTTGGCGTACTCTAGCATTTATGGCAGCTACCGGAACTTCGTGGGGCCTCCTCACTTCCAGGTCATCTGCCGGCTGCTTGGCTACCAGGGCATTGCTGTGGTCATGGAGGAGCTACTGAAGGTCGTGAAGAGCCTGGTACGTTTCCTTCCATGGACTTCCTTTACGTGGTGAAGGGTTCTGCACCCAAATGTCCTGTAAGGAGGGGAATAAAGGATTCAGACACTCCACTGAGCAATTCTTGGATACAAATTGGGTGTCCTGCAGTTCAACTCAATTTTAGCACTGTCTACCTGGAGGTGGCATCAGATCGCACAGTTCCAAGGGCTTTCACCCACAAGACTGCCCCACGCCCACCCTCACTCAATCTCTTAATATAATTTGTCACCTGTGCCTCTGACCCACTGGCTATAAATCAGAGGTTTCTGCAGCCCCCTCCTTGGATTCAGTTAACTGCTAGGGCAGCTCACAAAACTCAGGAGACCAGTTTACTCAATAGATTACCAGTTTATTACAAAGCATACAAATCAACAGCCAGGTGAAGACCTACATAGCTAGAGGTCCCAAAGAAAGGAACTTTTGTCCTCGTGCAGTTTGGGTACCCTCAAGGTGACTTTTGGAACTGTTATGGTTCCCCAACTTGTAAGCTCCCCAAACCCCACCCTATTAGGTTTTTAAGGGGGTTTCACTACATAGGCAGGACTGATTAAATCATTGGCCTTTGGTGACTGAATGAACCTCTAGCCCCTTCTCCATCCCCAGAGGCCTAGGGGTGGTACTAAAAGTCCCAAATCTTACCATGGTGTTGGTTCTTCTGGCAACCAGCCCCCATGGGTAAGTGCTTTCCGAAAGTCACCTCATTTACATAACAAGAGACACCTTTAAGAAGCTCTTTTAGGATAATTTGAAGGGTTTTAGGAGCTCTATGCTAGGAACAGGTAAGACCATATATGAAGCTTTTATTTAAAAAACAAAACAAAAAAAAACCAGTATCTCACACAGCCTTGAATTCACTGGGGTGGAAAAGCCTGGTCCATGTTATTTTAAGTAATTCATAGAAAAAGCTAAGTGCCCAAATACACATTTCCTTATAAGAAAATGTGGCCTTTATATGAAGAAGTAACCTTCCCTACCCCCTTACAGGGTGTATGCCCCTTTCCTGGGTGCCAGGGATTAAACTGTGAATAAAGGATTAGACACTCATCTCTGTAACTTGAGGTCAGAAGTTATGTTTACAAGTCTTTTTGGAAAGAGAGTGAGAAAATGATGTTTGTAGACTATATAGATTTAGTTTTCTATGTATTATTTCTGTTAATTGAGAAAGAACTTCATAAAATCTTAATCTTTAATCTTTTCCCATTATTTTAGTCATTTTTTAAAAGATTTTATTTATTTATTTGAGAAAGACATGAGCAGGGGGAGGGTCAGAGGCAAAGGGAGAAGCAGACTCCTGCTGAGCGGGGAGCCCAGTGCGGGACTTGATCCCAGGACCCCAAGATCCTGAGCCAAAGGTAGACGCTTAACTGACTGAGCCACCCAGGTGCCCCTATTTTAATTGTCTTTCTGTGGTTGAGCCCATTTCTTTAAGATTCTTCAGGTCTTTTCCATCCTTAAAGCTGAATTTTTGGCCACGTAGATAAAACTGGCAATCCTCAAGGAGATGATATTATTAACAATGCAAAGCAAAAGTTGACAGAATTCTCAGAAGTTGACAAAATATACAATCTTTTTGGATCAAAAATCTATTAGAATATATAAAAGTTGGGTCTTTTGACACAGCCATGACTACATGACCCACTCAGTCTCTGTTAAGACCCTCAGCTAGAGCCTTTGCCCCAAAACACATAACTTGGAAGGTGTTAGGCGCATGAGGTGACAGAGTCCAGTGTTGGAGCTGCACCAAATCGATCAGAAGAATACAGGAACCACCCCATGAGGATGTTGCTTCCCCAGAGCCACTGTGCTCACCAAAGTTGGAGTCCCTTGCCTTCCCACTGTCACAGCTCACACCATTTGCCTCCTGAAGGGGGAATTGTGTTTTATTTTTTTATTTTTTTTAAGATTTTATTTATTTATTTGATAGAGATCACAAGTAGGCAGAGAGGCAGGCAGAGAGAGAGGAGGAAGCAGGCTCCATGCCGAGCAGAGAGCCCGATGTGGGGCTCGATCCCAGGACCCTGGGATCATAACCTGAGCCGAAGGCAGAGGCCCCAACTTACTGAACCACCCAGACGCGCCCTGGGGAATCGTGTTTTAGAACATGCATTTAGTTAGTCTTGTTAAGTCACCCTGGTGGCAGTTGTTTTAGTTCTGTGGATAGGATTTCCTTTCCCAGCCAACGTGATTTTCGGTCCTGCTCATTGCTATGTGTTTTACAAACAGACTCCTTTTTAGAAGCCCCATGCACCACTCACAACCTCTGGGACAATGATGTCAGTGGCTGATGCAGCCTCTCTCTCCTGCAGCTGCAAGGCACAATCCTGCAGTACGTGAAGACACTGATGGAGGTGATGCCCAAGATCTGCCGCCTCCCCCGGCATGAGTATGGCTCTCCTGGTGAGTGTGGCACCTCCATGGGGGTGTAGCATGGAGGGAACAGCATGAGTGGTCAAACCCCAGTGTAGGAAATCAAGTCGAAATTTACTGATAAGGATAGGATCTGCTTTGCCCGGGTGGGAGGAAGCCAGGAATCTAATCAAAGTCTGATTAATCAGTTTCCAGTAGAACAAACAAACCAGCCTTCCATCTGAGAGCAGGTGGGTGGGCAGGTGTGCTGGAATTACCACATTTGAGGGAGGAAGCTGGTAGTAGGGAGGCAGCACCATTAGTCGCCTACATGATGGGGCTCTGAACACTGGGAGGCCTTGACTCCTGGACAGCACCCGGACCTTGAAGATCACCAACCAGGGAGGGGCAGGGAACTCATCTGCTGGATCAACTGCCCTGGTTGTCCTTGCAAAATGGCAGTTGGGACTGGCATGTTGGCCTGAGGAGTTTGAAACCTGTTAAGTCTCTAACTTTGTTCTTCTTTGAGTTGTTTTGGCTATTCTAGGTCTTCTGCATGACCACATACATTCTGGAGTCAGTTTGTGGATTTTTGACTGGGTCGGCATTTGAATGTATAGATCAAATGAAGGAATATTAACTTTCCTTCCAGCTTTTATGCCTGGTCTTGTTGTGCCCTTTACAATATGCAGGATCTCTAGAACAGTGAAGAAAATGTGTTGTCTTGCTCTGGAGCTCAGGGAGAAAGTATGCAGGTTTTACCACTGAGTATGACATTAGTTGCAGGTTTTTTATAGAAGCCGTATATCAGATTAAATATGTTCCCTTCTGTGCCTGTGAGGGGATACTGAATTTTTCAAAACCCTTTCTGTTTCTGCTGGAGATGTGGTCTTTTTCCTTTATTCTTGTGATGTGGTGCTTCCTCCGAAGATACAGGGTTGATAGAGATGGAGGCTTTGGAGCCAAGGCCCAAGGCCTAGGTGATGGACAAACAAGAAAGATGTTGGGGTCAGGGGACATGTGGCCATTTTCATAGCAGGCACAGTGGCAGTGTCCGAGGATGTTTCATGGCCAGCACGAGTGCTCCTAGCTGTAGACCCCAGACTGTGCCTCCAACCCCCTCAGTCTCTCTATTCACTCTCTGCTACCACAGGCATCCTAGAGTTCTTCCACCACCAGCTGAAGGACATTGTTGAGTATGCGGAGCTGAAGACAGTGTGCTTCCAAAACCTGCGGGAAGTGGGCAATGCTGTCCTCTTCTGCCTGCTCATCGAGCAAAGCCTGGTGAGTGCTCAACCCAGCCAAACCCCAGGCCATGTAGTCATTCCCCACAGGTGCCTGAAAAAGGCATTTTTCTAGAGGCCAGATTTATTAGGGTTATTTGATGAGGGTAAAGCACCATTCTTTTTTTGTGTGTGACTATTTAGATTTTAATTTGAATTTGTTTCCTGTAACTAAAAAACAAAAATGCAAGATAATTCATCATTTAAGAATGTTTTACTATGAGCCCTGTGGAATGTTTTATTATATAGTATTTGCTCCAGCTAAAAAACATGTGACATATAGCTCTAACTTAAGTCTTCCTCACTGACAGAACACATTCCCTTACCATATTCTTCAAGGGTATGTTGCATCTTCATCTATCTTTGCTCTGCTCTGAAAGTTCAGAGTATCAGTATCAGCTTGCCAAATGTATTGAAGAAGCATATTGGCATTTCAGTGTTAATTGGTTATGTCTTTAGACCTATTTGGGAAAATCTTTTACTGTGTTGCTTCTTTTTTTTTTTTTTTTTTAAAGATTTTATTTATTTATTTGACAGCCAGAGATCACAAGTAGGCAGAAAGGCAAGCAGAGAGAGAGGAGGAAGCAGGGTCCCTGCTGAGCAGAGAGCCCGATGCGGGGCTTGATCCCAGGACCCTGAGATCATGACCTGAGCCGAAGGCAGAGGCTTTAACCCACTGAGCCACCCAGGCGCCCCTGCTATGTTGCTTCTTAAAGCACTTTCCTTTCTTCAGGGCCCTGGGAGCTTGACGGGGACAGGGTCATGTTTTGCAGTGACTGGGACCATGGTGCCCATATGCCTTTCAGGGCATGGCATTCAGACTGCCATGTTTCTAGGGGCCAAGCTACTGGATTGGCCACCTTACATCCAATTACAAATATATAGATATAGATATATGTTGTCAGGTAGTCCAAGGTTGGGTGTGGATACCTCTGGGAGCTGATGGCCTCCCATCGGGACCTGTATCTTTTGGCTTTCCCCTCTGTTGCTGTGGTCCTGGGTAGACCCTTTCCACGTGGTAACAATGAGAGGGCACCCTAGGCCATCTGTAAGTCAGCATGGACTCTGAGTGAACAGCCCCTCATGTGCCACCCTTTCCCACAGCAGGAGTGACAGCATGAGGTGGAGGACCCACCAAAGTCACAGGGTGGGCTGGGCAGCCCTGCAAAGAGCAGGCAGGCTGGCTGTGGGGCCAGCAAGCAGCTGACATCTAGGCCAGCCTTGCTCCAGGAACATTAGGGAGAACTGAATCTTCTATTGTACTATCTGTGAATTTTTTTAAAAAGATTTACTTAGAGAGAGAGAGAGAGCACATGTGACTAGGGGGAGGGGCAGAAAGAGAGAGAGAAGCAGACTCCCTGCTGAGAGCAGAGTCCAACACATGGCTCAGTCCCATGGTTCTGAGATCATGACCTGAGCCAAAACTAACAGTTGAAGGCTTAACCAACTGAGCCTGCCAGGTGCCCCAATATTTGTAAATTCTTAACAACCAGAAAAGTTAGGAAGAGTTGCTTTATTTATTTATTTATTTTTTAGATGTTATTTATTTATTTGAGAGGGAGAGCAGTAGGGCATGATCAGGGTGGAAGGGCAGAGGGAGAGGGAGATGCAGATTCACTGAGCAGGGATCCTGATCTGGGGCTCGATCCCAGGACTCCAGGATCGTGACCTGAGCTGAAGCCAGACACTTAACTGACTGAACCACCCAAGCACCCCAGGAAGAATTACTTTAAATGATAATCTATTATCATGAATTTTAAATATTTATTATAGGAAGATTCCCTTCATATACTGACTTTTCCTGAACACGCAACATAAAGTGAAATTTTTCTTGTCCATATGTGTCTAAGTCTAAAGGTGCTTTTTAGTCCCTGGTTTTGGGTTATGGCAGGAAGTCCCAAGTTTTACTGATGGAGGACTGGCTTATGGAATTCACTTAGTGGCAGGGAACCATAGAAGGCTGGTTTTTCCTCTGGTTTAGTTGTGCTTTTAGGAAATAAACTATCAAAAGCTTTTCTTCACCTACAAAATAGAAGATGTCAAGGATCCTTGTATGGACATAAAAGAATCATAGAACCATAGAGGTTCGATGCTGGAAGGGCAAAACTTATCTCTCATCAGCTCAGAGGAATAGTGTACACCCATTGTCAGGTCAACAATTGGACACTCATTGGCTTTAGGGTGGAGTGTGATGCTGTATTAGAAAGTTAGAAAAAGAGGGATCTTGAACCAGTGTGATCCTTGCTATCTGGTTCCTTCAATTATGCCTGTTGCATATCTCTCAAGACAAGCAAATTCCTTGTGAGAGTCACGTAGTACTCCTAAAGACCTCACCACCATTCAGTGGGAATTGGTCTCATCAGTGAAGGGGATCCTCTAGGCCTTGGGGGCCTGGTGAGTAGCACCCAATTGACACAGATCCCCCTCATCTTCTCCCTTCTGGAACCAGGCTTGTGTCTTAGGTGAATACTCTTGTGCTTAACTCCTTTGAGTGGTAAGGACAGTACTGGACACCTAGGAAAAATGTTATAAAATGTTACAAATTTGTTGGGACACCTGGGTGGCTCAGTTGGCTAAGCTGCTGCCTTCGGCTCAGGTCATGATTCCAGGGTCCTGGGATCGAGTCCCACATTGGGCTTCTTGCTCAGCAGGGAGCCTGCTTCTCTCTCCGCCTTTGCCTGCCTCTCTGCCTGCTTGTGCACTCTCTCTCTCTCTCTCTCTCTGACAAAAAAACAAATTAACAAAATCTTTTTTAAAAATGTTATAAGTTTGTCAATTGCTTTGAGAGCAAACTTTGGCTTATGAGTGTGTGAATATTTCTGAAACTGAATGAAAAGAGCATCATCTACATCCGAGTTGAGTGCAGCAGATTCCAGGGCCCATGCCTGAGGCATAGTGAGCATCATGCATTACTCTCTTATGGAAGCAGTGGCCCTGCTTCAGAGGGATGCCTGTCACCACCCCTCCTCACACCCTCTGCTCACTGTCACCCCTTCACTTCTCCTTTTTCTGGATTCCCTTGTCCATGCATCTTGTGCAAGTGGTGAGAAGCCAAACTTTCTGTGTTGGGCAGCAGACCTGGCCCCAGATTGGAATTCTGTGGTGTTGCTTTTGTCCTTTGGAAGTAGGAGGTGCTGTTTCCTATAGAACCATCAGTGTGAAACTCTCCAAGGTTGAAGACGGCATGGCTATTCTCACTCCATCTCATGTGGTTATGCCCAAACCCCATCAAACCCAAGTACAGTTTTGAAGACTCCAGACATTGATCTGTTCTTGGTGCTTATTTTGGACTCTCTGAGGAAGGTGGTAGTATGTTTTGGTATTTGTGTGGGTTCCCAATATTATGACTAGAGATACTCGGGGTAAATCAGATTGTCACGTTAGCAAAGTATGGTAACTGTGACCCAGCTGCCAGGGCAACAAGTATGTGGGTGGGGCCCATGGGCCTGACCATGCTATCGCGCATTAGCGGCCCCAGCCAGTGCCAGGATTGGATTCAGTAGCCAAAAATATTGGTCTTACCAAATCCGTGCATTGTATAGATAAATTTAACTTTCTGAAGAAATTTAATTTTGCTTTTCAAATTCTGCTCCCTACAAACCTAGCCTGGTATAAAAAAGTTCACACACACACACACACACACACACACACACACACACACACAGGAATATTATGCAGCCAACAAAAAGAATGAAATCCTGCCATTTGCAATGACATGGATGGAACTAGAGGGTATTATACTGAGCGAAATAAGTCAGTCAGAGAAAGACAAATATCAGATGATTTCACTCATATGTGGAGTTTAAGGAACAAAAGAGATAAAGGAAGGGAAAGAAAAATAAGATAAAAACAAGAGGGAGGCAAACCATAAGAGACTTTTAACTCTAGGAAGCAAACAGGATGCTGGAGAGGAGGTGGGGGAGTTGGGTAACTGGGTGATGGACATTAAGAGAGGGCACTTGATGTAATGAGCACGGGTGTTATATACAACTGCTGAATCACTAAATTCTACCCCTGAAACTAGTAATACACTGTATGTCCCCTAAATTGGATTTATTTATTTATTTTTAAGATGTTATTTATGTGACAGAAAGTGAGAGAACAAGTAGAGGGAAGGGGCAGAGGGGGAGAGAGAGAGAGGGAAAAGCAGACTCCCTGTTGAGTAGGGAGCCTGATGCGGGGCTCAATCCCAGGACCCCGGGATCATGACCTGAGCCAAAGGCAGACGCTTAACCAACTGAGCCACCCAGGCATTCCTAACTAAATGGGATTTAAATTAAAAAACTTTTAAAAACCAAAAATAACCTAGCCCAGAAAGTTTGATAATGTAGTTGGGGTTTTTTGTTTGTTTGTTTGGGTTTTAGGATTGGTTTGTTTGCTTGTTTTTAGTTTATGTATGTGTGTGTTTAATAAACTTTTTATTTTAGTATAGTATCAATTGCTTGTTTGTTTTAAATGCTGGTTTTTGTAACTATTCTCAATTTTTCTGGTTTGGTTTGGGGGCAAAAATTTGAGCTCATTGGTAATAGAACCTGGAAGCAGCACAGCTGGATGAGCCCTTCTCCACTTGAGTGGTTTTGCTGGCTGTAGGCTCCTTGAACTGCCTGCAGAGCTCTCTTGGGTGCTCTGCCCCAGCATTCCTGCTTGGCAGCTGTCATTCCTTAACCAAGTCTCCCACCTGCCATCCATTTGCCTGACCAATTTCTGGCAGTCAGTCACCCACCTTCCAACTGCCCCCCACACTCTGTTGGTGCAGGCCAGCATTCACTCCTCTCTCCATGTTGCTTTTTTCACTCAACAGTAAATACATGCTGGAGATCATTGTACATTAGGAAGTGGTGACATTCCTTATCCTTTTTGTAGCTGCATAGAATTCCATTGATATCGCCCTCTAATGTGTTTGCATAACACAGAATCATCATCTCATCTTGTCCCCTTTTTTAGCTTGTTCCTCTCTCCTCCCCCAACATCTTTCTCACCAGAATAGAAGGCCCAGGGGAACAGGTCCTGGGTACACTGGTCTAGAGGTAGCTTCTACTACATATATTCTGCATGAGGAGTTCATGCTTTGCTGCTGGCCTCAGGAACAGAGACATGGTATGGAGGGGTAAATCTCCTTCTGGAGGTGGAACAAGGGGCAGCGGCACTAGATTTATGTTACGTGACAGTAGGACCCTCACTTGATAAGTACAAAATGTCTTCTCTTCCCCTTCTTGGTCTTAGCTTTGCCATCATCCAGGGAAATTTTCAGAGGGAAAAATACCATCATTTGATATATGTCTTGACTTTCTGAAAACAGTTTCTTTGTTTAGAAATTTGTCTTATTGGGGTGTCTGGGTGGCTCAGTGGGTTAAAGCCTCTGCCTTCAGCTCAGGTCATGATCCCAGGATCCTGGAATTGAGCCCTGCATTGGGCTCTCTGCTTGGTAGGGAGCCTGCTTCATCCCCTCTCTCTCTGCCTGCCTCTGCCTACTTGTCTCTGTCAAATGAATAAATAAAATCTTAAAAAAAAAAGAAATTTGTCTTATTACTGTGGGATTATAAGATTTCAAGATGGCTGTAGAGTCGGAGGCGTGAGAGAGAACTCATTTCATATCTTCTACAGGCCCCATGGGGAACACACCAATCTTCAGGGCCCTTCTCTATAGTTTAAGAGCCTCTGAGTCTGGAAAATACCCTGTTCTTAACTACATATGGGTTTTTGGTAAGTTTTTAGGAGTTCTGTAACCCCTGTGATATCAGAGGTAAACTTGCCCTTTACACAGCGATATTCTGGAGAATGGGTCTTCTGCAGGGTTTTTATTACCTCTTTAGAGGTGTTGTGATCCAAAATCAGGTTCAGAGTGACTGCTCAGAACTTCGTTTGTGTACAAAGGTGATGCTGCCTTTCCTTCTGCATCTAGTGCTGTTCACAGAGGAATTACCCTTCCTCCTGTCTATGTAGTGTGTATTGTTGTAAACTGTTATAACTAAGTTACAAACTTCTTAAGAGGCTAGTAGCAAATTAGCAGATCAGGGCTGCCAGACTGTAAATCCTGGGAAACAAAGGCCATTGTTTTCAGTATTCAACACTGGTTTTTACTCATGTCTATATTTAAATTAATTAAAAGTAAATACAATTTAAATTCAGTTATTCAGGTATACTAGCCATATGTGGCTGGTAACATGTCAATGTATAACACAAACAGAAAACATTTCCATCATCCCAGAGAATTCTACTGCATGGTGCCACTTAGAGTATTTGTTTTACACTAAATGGCAAATATAGATCTTGTTTTCAGCACAACTTTTCTGTCTGTCTTTGGATGAGGTAAATGTCCTAATGCAGTCCTCTTCTTTTGGTCTAGTCTTTAGAAGAAGTGTGTGACCTCTTGCACGCAGCCCCATTTCAGAACATCCTGCCGAGAGTCCACGTGAAAGGTGAGTCTGTGTATCTCTTACCAGGGAGTGCAGACTAACCTTTGTAGTAGTGACACTTAGTCCTTGTGACCAGAGAACTTAGTGCCAGTTTTGTTTGAGTTTCAGTGCCTGTTCCATCATAACTGGAGGTGATTGGTAATGTAACGTGGTTAGATTAATATTGAATAATTGAAGTATTAAAGGCTGAAAAGCTATGTCTTGGATGTGCTTCAAAATAGCTACTATCCTGTTGTTTCATAACGGTTGAGTATCTATGAAACGAGTGTCATGAGTTGATACTCATGCAGCAGATGGGTACAGAGGGTTTTGTACTATTCTCTGATTTTGATTACATTTGGAATTTTTATGTTTCAGAAAAAATGAATATTGAACAGAAAGTCAATTCTATCATTTTGAATTAAAATAAGCCAATTCTGTAATGTTCAGAGAGAATCTCTATGTATAATGTTAACTTAAGAAATCTTTCATTTGTTTCTTTGACAACATTAAACTTCAGCAATCGTTTTTCATGCAAAAAATTAAAATAAAAATGCAGAAATTAAAATATTTTTTCCACCGCAGAGGGAGAGAGACTTGATGCCAAAATGAAAAGACTGGAATCAAAGTATGCACCACTGCATCTTGTCCCTCTGATTGAAAGACTGGGGACCCCTCAGGTAATGCATACTGTGACAGCTGTCACTGCTGCAAGTTTGTTGTCCACATCAGGCCTGGGGCTGAAGCTTCAGATTACAGGCTCTGGGTGACCCTCTCTGGAAGGCATCATGAAGTTCGGTGGGCTTTCTTGGGCCTCAGTGTCTCCAGTGGGGTTCGTAACAAGACCTTGTCACAGGGTGGTTGGGAATTTTGAATGCGCTAACATGTGCAAAGGGCTTAGGATATTATCTGGCACATAAGACGTACACAATAGATGTTACTTGTTTTTTTTGTCTATCTCTTCATGAAGAAGACTTTTTTCATAGTTTTTTTTTTTAAAGATTGCTTTTAGTTATTTATTTGACAGACAGAGATCACAAGTAGGCAGAGAAGCAGGCAGAGAGGAAAGGGGAAGCAGGCTCCCTGCTGAGCAGAGATCCCGATGTGGAGCTCGATCCCAGTACCCTGGGATCACGACCCGAGCCGAAGGCAGAGGCTTTAACCCACTGAGCCACCCAGGTGCCCCCATAGTTTTTTAGTAACAGAAAAAAGTGGGAGTCACATATAGGAGGCAAGATAGCAGGGTACAGTTCCATGATTTTATATCAAATTAAGCTAGATCAGGGTTTCTCAGATGCAGTACTATCCTCAGTTTGGACCAGATATTTTTTATTGTGGGGATTTTCCTATGAATTGTAGGATGTTTAGCAGTGTCTCTGGTATAACAGCCTCATGGAGATATAACTTAGAAGCAGCAGTTTGAAAAACGCCTGGGGCAAATGAAAAGGAGAGTAGTTTACTTATTTCAGAACGTGTCAGGCAAAACAGAGAAATCCTTGAGAGACTTCTCCAGGAACAAAGGAGCAGCAGGTACCATGTCTATCCCCTGCCCCCCAGCATAAACACATGGCCTCCTGCAATAACCAGCACCATGCTGACACTCAACTACCTCACTTGCTAACACTGCTACCCCACTCCCCTGTGCTGTGCTACAGCAGATCTGCACCCTTTAGACAGGTATGCCTCACTCCTAACTCAGGAAGAACCATCCTGCAGGGGATTGGTGCTACACAAACTTTGCTAACACCACCATACCATGGTCCCCCACTCCTCACCATTGCAGCTCTGCCCCTCAGTACACTCTTAGCCAGAGCTCATCTGGGGGGTGCCACAGCCTGGCAGTATGCAAGCACCTTGACAGGGGCCAACACCACTTCCAAGTGACTCTTACCCTGCAGAGGGGAAAAGATAACCACACAGATCAGTCAGAGGGCCCAGCAGTGGGTTGGGGCAGACAACTGGTCTGTCTGCAAGCCCTGCCCACCAACAAAAGTTCAGGGGACAACACAGGGAAAATTTGGTGCTACTGCATCTCTGGCAAACGCCTAGTCTGACTCAATTCAATCTGTAGGTGGTGCGAGACTAGCCCACTAACAACACAGGGACCAAGTACTCCCCATAACAGACAGAGCCACTAAAGACAATTAGACTGAAGGAAAAAGCAGCTCAGCCACAACAGCAGGACATACACAACACATAGAGGAGATAGCCCTGAAGTGCCAGGTTCTGGTGAACAGGGGACACTGCATAGCAGAGACCTTCTTCATAAGGCCACTACTTCCAAGAACAGGAGACATAGCTGAATTTCCCAGCACATAGAAACAGACACAGAGAGTTAAAGAAAATGAAGAGAGAGAGGAATATGTCCCAAATGAAAGAATAGGGAAAAAAAACCCACAAGAGACCTAAGCAAATGGAGATCAGTAATGTGCCTGATAGAGAATTTAAAGTAACCTTATAAAGATACTCACTGGGTTTAAAAAAAGAGTGGAACACATCAATGACAACAAAGAGAACCGATCAGAGATAAAAAACACAATAAATAAAATTAAAAATACACTAGCTGGAATAAATAGAAGGCTAGAAGAGCAGAAGAACGTATCAGTGACCTTCAGGACAGAGAAATATAAAATAGTCAAGCTGAGCAGGTGAGAGAAATAAAATTATGCAGAATGAGATTTGATGTAGGGAACACAGCAACATGATCAAGTATAACAACATTTGTATTATAGGGATCCCAGAAGAAGGGAGAGAAGCGGGGGCAGAAAATTTATTTGAAGAAATAATAGATGAAAACTTCCCAAATCTGGGAAAGGAAAGAGAAGTCCGGATCCAGGAGGCACGGAGAGCCACCAACGAAAGCTACCCAAGGAGGTCCACACCAAGACACATAGTAATTAAAATGGCAAAAAGTAGTGATAGAGAATTTTAAGAGCAGAAAGCGAAAACTGTTATGTACGAGGGAAACCAAATAAAGCTATCAAGATTCTTCAGCAGAAATTTTGGAAGAACAGAAAGGAGTGGCATGATCTATAGATTCATCATACTGAAAGGAAAAAATCAGCCAAGAATACCCTGTTCATAAGGCTATCATTCAGATTAGAAGGAGAGAATAAAAGTTTCTCACAAAAACACAAGTTAAAGGAATTTATGACCCCTAAACCAACCCTACTAGAAATGTTAAAGGGGATTCTTTGAGTAGGAAGGAAAAACCATAATTAAGACTAAGAAAAATTGGAAGCACAAAAACAATAAAAATAAACATATCCATAAAAGTCCTGAGACTTACAAAATAAAAGGATATCAAGTATGATACCATATACCTAAAATGTGGGGGGAAGGAGTAAAGAATGGGTTCAAACTTAAGCGAACATCAACTTAATATAGACTGCAATATGCAGAAGATGTTAAATACAAACCTAATGTTAACCACAAATCAAAAACCAGTAACACACAGGCAAAAAAATAAAAATAAATCAAAGTAAATTACTGAAGAAAGCTGGCAAACTAAGAGAAGAGAGCAAGAGAAGAAAGGTACAGAGAGGGCGCCTGGGTGGCTCAGTGGGTTAAGCTGCTGCCTTCGGCTCAGGTCATGATCTCAGGGTCCTGGGATCGAGTCCCGCATCGGGCTCTCTGCTCAGCAGGGAGCCTGCTTCCCTCTCTCTCTCTCTGCCTGCCTCTCTGTCTACTTGTGATCTCTCTCTGTCAAATAAATAAATAAAATCTTTAAAAAAAAAAAAAAAAGGTACAGAGATAAACTACAAAAACAACCACAAGACAAGTACCAAATTGGCAATAAATACACATATATGAATAATTACTTTGAATGTAAATGTATAAATTCTCCAATCAAAAGATATAGGGTGATAAAAATCTTAAAAAAAAAATTTATAAACCATGTTGGGCTCTCTGCTCAGCAGGGAGTCTGCTCCCCGCCCCCCCCCACCTGCCTCTCTGCCTACTTGTGATCTCTGTCAAATAAATAAATAAAAATCTTTCGAAAAAAATTTATAAAAAGATATAGGGCAATGGAATGGATTAAAAAAAAAAAAAACCAAGACCTATCTATATGCTGCCTATAAGAGACTCATTTCAGACCTAAAGACACATGTAGATTGAAAGTGAGGGCATGGAGAAACATTTATCATGCAAATGGATGTGAGGGTAAAGCCAGGGTAGCAATACTTGTATTGGACAAAACAGACTTTAAAACAAAGACTGTCACAAGATATAAAGAAAGGCACTGTATAAGTCATAAAAAGAACAATCCAACAAGAAGATAAAACAATTGTAAATACTTGTGCCCCCAATATGAAAGCACCCAAATACATAAAGCAGTTAATAACAAACATAAAGTGAGTAACTGGCAGTAATACAATAATATTAGGGGAATTTAACACCCCGCTTATCAGTGGACATCAAACAAAATCAACAAGCAAGCAGTGGCTTTGAATAACACACTAAAGTATATAACATATATTCAGAACATCCCTCCTAAAACAGCAGCATACACACTCTTTTTGAGTGCACACAGAACATCCTCCAGAATAGATCACATATTAGCCCACAAAACAAGTCTCAAAAAATTATAAAAGATTGAAGGCACACCATACATCTTTTCTGACCACAACACTATGAAACTAGAAGTCAACCACAGGAGAAAATCTGGAAAGATCACAAATAACATGCTACTAAACAATAAATGGGTCAACCAAGAAATCAAAAAGGAAATAAAAAATTACATGGTAACAAATGAAAATGAAAACAATAGTTCAAAGTCTTAGGGATGCAACAAGGGTGGTTCTAAGAGGGAAGTTTATAGCAATGTAGGCTTACCTCAAGAAACAAAAACAGTCCCAGACAACCTAACCTTACATCTAAAGGAGCTAGTAAAAGAACAGCTATCAAAACCCAAAACCAGCAGAAGGAAGGAAGGAAGGAAGGAATATTAGAGCAGAAATAAATGAGATAGAATCTAAAATATATATAATGTAATAAATCTGAAACCAGGAGCTTGTTCCTTGAAAAAATCAAAATTGATAAACCTTTAGCCTTTCATTTTAAAACCTTTCATTTTTAAAAATAAGAGAGGGAAGACTCAAATAAATATTAGAAATGAAAGGGGCTCCTGGGTGGCTCAGTGGGTTAAAGCCTCTGCCTTTAGCTCAGGTCATGATCCCAGGGTCCAGCAGGGAGCCTGCTTCCTCCTCTCTCTCTGCCTGCCTCTCTGCCTACTTGTGATCTCTGTCTGTCAAATAAATAAAATCTTTTTTTAAAAAATGAGAAAAGAGAAATCACACCCAATACCACAGAAAGACAGTTATAAGAGACTATTATGAAAAATTATATGCCAACGAATGGACAACCTTGAAGAAATAGATAAATTGTTAGAAAAATAAACTTCCCAAACCTGAAGCAGAATAGAAAATTTGAACAGACCAATTACCAGCAATGAAATTGAATGAGTAATCAAAAACCCAACAAACGGGGCGCCTGGGTGGCTCAGTGGGTTAAGCCGCTGCCTTCGGCTCAGGTCATGATCTCGGAGTCCTGGGATCGAGCCCCGCATCGGGCTCTCTGCTCAGCAGGGAGCCTGCTTCCTCCTCTCTCTCTGCCTGCCTCTCTGCCTGCTTGTAATCTCTCTCTCTCTGTCAAATAAATAAATAAAATCTTTAAAAAA